CCTGCCGGCGCTGCCCTCCCCCCTGCCCCCGGGGGGTGGGTCCCGGCTCGGCGGGCATTGCGCAGTCGCGGCGGGCGGGCGGGGCGGCGCATGCGCGGTGGGTGGCGGCCGGGCCGCCGGGAGCTGGGCCGCCTGCCGCGCCGAGCGCCCCCGGCCCGCAGCCCGCGGCCGCCGGTGAGTGAGGGACGGAGGGAGGGAGCGAGCCAGGGGCGGAGGCGGGGAAGCCCTGAGGTGACTGCGGGACCCCCGGGGGGAGACGGGGGGGTGGTCACCCTCGGGAAGCGTTGAGGGCGGTCCTGAGGGAGCTGTGGGCCTCGGGGGATCCGCGGGGCGACCCAGAGGTAATGTGGGGCAGCGTGGGGGCCACCCTGAGGAAAGCTTGGGTGCGGGGTGGGGCTCCGTAGAGCATCCCGGAGGTGATATTGGGCTCCGTGGGGCAACCCTGAGGTGATTTGGGGCAGTGTGGGGGAAACCCTGAGGTAATTTTGGGTTCGGGGGGGCTGCGTAGGGCAACCCTGAGGTGATTTGGGGCGGTGTGGGGGCAACCCTGAGGTAATTTTGGGTTTGGGGGTCTCCTTAGCGCATCCCGGAGGCGATATTGGGCTCCGTGGGGTAACCCTGAGGTAATTTTGGGTTCGGGGGGCGCGGGGTGGGGCTCCGTAGAGCATCCCGGAGGTGATATTGGGCTCCGTGGGGCAACCCTGAGGTGATTTGGGGCAGTGTGGGGGAAACCCTGAGGTAATTTTGGGTTCGGGGGGGCTGCGTAGGGCAACCCTGAGGTGATTTGGGGCAGTGTGGGGGAAACCCTGAGGTAATTTTGGGTTCGGGGGGGCTGCGTAGGGCAACCCTGAGGTGATTTGGGGCAGTGTGGGGGAAACCCTGAGGTAATTTTGGGTTCGGGGGGCTCTGTAGTGTATCCCGGAGGTAATCTTGGGCTCCGTGGGGCAGCCCTGAGGTGATTTGGGGCAACTCTGAGGTGATTTGGGGCAGTGTGGGGGCAACCCTGAGGTGATTTTGGGTTCGGGGGGCTCCTTAGTGCATCCCGGAGGTGATATGGGGCTCCATGGGGCAGCCCTGAGGTAATTATGCTCACACACACCCTTCCGTGGGGGACTGTGGGGACAGCCCTGGGTGAAACAGTGCCCCTTACCCCGGGTCACTCTGGGCGTTTTCCCCCCCGTACCCACGGGGGTGGCTCTGAGGTAAATTTGCCCCCCTGCCGTGTAACCATGGGGGTCACCCCCATTAACATCGGGGGCAGATGATTCCCTCCCCAGCATAACCGTGGGGCAGGCCTGGGCTCCCCATCCCTGGCCCCTCTGGGGTGCCATGAGAATTCTACACACCCCCCCCCCCCCCC